GTCAGTATGCTCTCCTAACTAATATTTGCTTGCCTTACTTTTATTTCCATGATCTTCTTTTCTTTGCCTGGAGGTTTTCAGTGGTGTTCCTGACTCCTGGAGACCTGGGATGAGGCAGCTTGGCATCAGTCCTTATTCTTTTCTTTGGTTTCTCATTTATCTTAACCCTACCTTTCTGTTCCTATTCTCAGGACTGCTCAATCCGTGTCCCCTCCTTATTCCTATTCTTTTTGGGGTGTTTGGCCTGCAGAGGGGTATTCACTCTGCATCAACATATTGAAACATCTCGCACTTCCTTGGAAATGTTCCCATTTCCTCCCTCTTCTCATGGATAAGTTGGTCATAATCCATTCTGACAATTCCATGGTTGTTTTTCATATCAACCATCAGGGAGGTTTCCATTCCAAGACTCTTTGTTTCTGTGCTTTGGATATACCATTTTGGGCTCATTCCCATTACGTACATCTCATAGCTTGTTATGTGCTGGGGGGCTCTAAACCTGGTGACAGATCTCTCTTGGTTGGACCAGTTTCTACCTATGTACTTTGTCGGGTATGCACTCGGTTGGACACACCCCTCATCAATGCCTTGCCACTCCTCTCAACACCAAACTTTCACTCTTCTGGTCCCCAGTTCCTCATCTTTTAGCCCTTGTGGTCAATGCACTCAGCCAGGACTGGTTTCATATTTTTCTGTATGCCTATCTTTCTCTCTGTTTCCTCCCTTATGTCATTGTCTTGATCCCGATTACTCCTTTTTGGGTCTATTGGTGTCACATCTGATCTGCACAATCCTGGTTTCCTCTGCTTTGTCAGTTGGCATCTAGGGCCAGGACTTCCTCTGCCCCACTCCCCAAGTCTCTTGCTCCAATCTCATATGTTTCTCTCTTGTCCAGTCCATCACCTACAGTGCCTTACTCTGATCATGTAGCTTTCTTCTTATCCCATTTCTGTTTTCCTTCAACCTTATCCATCTATCAATTGTAATGGGAAGTTTTTCAATGTTGGTTCATCCACCATTCCATTTATTGAGACTGTCCTACTGAAGCCTTCTTTATATGATTGACAACCATGGATTGTTGGTCTCCACCATAGCTGGTTATTGGGCAGATTTGTCAACTACAGTTTAAATTTCCTTGCCAGTTGTTTTCTTTCCCTGTGTTTCCACTTTATTCTGAATCTTCCTGCTTCACCAACCCCCTCATTTGAGCCATTGACTTCATGTTCTTTTTACTATCTTTCTCTGAAGACATACTTCCTTCTCCTTCTTGCTTGTAGTTGCCATCGTTTGGATATATATTCCATCAATGCTTCCTGCACACACTTTCGTCATACTTATTTATTCCTCTACTCAAACCAAGCTTTTCTTCCCCAAACTTTAGCTACTCGGGAAGCTGATTACTCTTTCTCTCTTATCTCCCTCCCTTCTATCTCTCACCACTGCTGTGTCCTGTTTATGCTTTGTGGTGATATTTGACACAAAGGTCTCCTTTTCTAGGTTGAAATCATCATTTGTTTTTGTTTTGGGCTCCATCTTTGTCCAGAGACCTGTCACCTCCTACCCTTAATGGATGGGTCTGCCAACTCCTCGGGTTGATGTATTCTTCCCTGGATATTGATCCTTATAGGCTTTTTTACATTTCGTTACATTAAATTGGTCACCTGTCTCATTCTCTTGTGTCTCATTTTTACAAATCTTTAGACAAGAACATTCAATGTGGCATGTGATGAATCTGCATATGTTCATCTCTCATTGTCTTCATCATCTGGCTATTTTGTCTCTTGCAGGATTTTGACTTCAATTTACTCACCATCTTTGTGAAGGGTAGGTACATTATTTTTTCATCACCCTTCTCCTTCTTATAGGATCCCACCAGGTGGCTGGTGTTACCTCTTAAGGTATGCTTATTTCCCAAAATCTGCATCAGGCCTGGTGTAACAGACAGTGCTCAACCCATCCACTCTGGATTTACCATTGCCCATTGCTGAGAAAGGTTGTTCTGTAGGGCCACTAGAGGTATCTTGTGATATTAAAAGTACTCAATTGCCCAATCCAGACCATACCATTTCATGGACTATTATGGTAAATACTAGCACCAAGGAGGTGACTGCTCACTTTCTTGGCTCATGCTTGCCAGCTTTTAAAAACCTAATCAAAAATACCTTAGGCGTGAAAACAAGGTACAGCCAAAAATGGATTGAGCGTGTGACTTAAAGAATGAAATCAAAACTGGTAGCTACACTTGTAGCATTGATAAGAATTTTACAGCTAATACTCATTCATTAGTTAGCCAGGCCATGTTTTTGTTCAATTTGGGGCATGATGGTAGGTAAAACAAAATATGCAGGCTAGTTGGTAATATATAATGAATAATAACCATCCACCCATGTGATTCTTTTGAAAACATGAGTTAGAAACTGCTAATCTAGTTTGCTTGGCCTAATCTATACTTATGTATCTGCGCGTCCTTTCACCTTATACTTTTGCTGCTCTAAATCAACTGTCTTTAATTCAGGAGACAAAAAACTAAAAACAGTCTACTTTTAGTCTTAGATGAAATTGTAGTAAAGATGTTAGACCGATAGCTCATGTGACTTCTTGCTTAGGCATGTGCAAAAATTTTTTTCACATGTGGCTCATATTTACACCAAATGAGACTCCTAATTGTACGTTGAAAAAAAAAAAGATCTATCAGTGTACCAAATTGGAAAAAAATCTATAAAAGTTAAGTATGTTTTTCTATCAAATAAAGTTCCTAGTTGATGGGATGGTGGACCTTGGAGGCATCCTCACTGATTATGTACAGCAGAGTATGGTGAGAAATAGGACAGTGGTGACACTGTTTATGTAGTGTGGGTTACCTGAAAACATCTGTTGTTCCCTCCTCCTGCAGTAGGACAGGTTCCTCAACTCTGTTTCTGTCTGTCTAGTTGAGTTGAGGTCAGACACACACAATATGGTCTGATTGTTCCTAAACCACACTACACTTCTTGGCTTACCAACCACTTGTTTGTGAGTGCTCAGTTGATCAGTAAAAATTATGCCTATCCTTGTGATACTTGGAGCTCTTCTGCCTCTTTTCTTCAAGGGAAAGAGTACATTCTGGTTGAGATGTTCTCCCATGGACGTGTCCTTATGGATCCTCTGCCATTGAGTCTCACACTCTATGGGCTTTCCCTATGGGTGCTTTTGGAAGAGAACTCCTCTAGGTTTAGTGTTTGCACTGGCTCTTCCATCATTTAAATGTAGGATTCCAGTTATTCTGTGTATGAGGGTGAGGTATCATCACAGAAGTTAACATTTTCCTTACCTGAAAATGTATTTTTGATAGACACTTACTTCCACACACCTTCCCACCCATCCTCGTCACCTCTGATGCAATTTATTCTTGCCTCATCTAAGAATGTAGTTATTTTGAGCACAACTGCTTCACTCTCCTATTGGTGGAGGCCTGTTGTTGCATGATATAATCACGTACTAGCACAGTTCATGCTAAACACCTGATTTTAGGTGGAAGTTAGCTCAAGAATAATGGCATGCAAATATCATAGGCAGATGTGAGAGGGATGAAGCTATTTTGTATATGGAGGTATCTATCAGAAATTTAGGTAAGGTAAATGTTATCTTCAGGAATACATGACATCTGAACAAGGTCACACAAGTACAAGTTTCACAGAAAAATTATGGTATATAATCTTTGTTTTAGTTTAAAGATTAGGATAACTTCATGACTTTTCCATATTCAATCAATGGAGGAGATCGGTAACTACACACAGTACACATGTACAAAAATGAAAATACTTATCGTATCTCCAAATAAAGATATATTATTTCTTGTTATGAAATTGTGAAATATGTGAGCTCTTATATCCTACTACAAACATTACTGTTTATATTTTATTGTATTTGCTTACTACTTATCATATTAAACATAAACCTGACAAACTGTTTGTATTTATTTTAAACTTTCTTGAAAATAATGTATAAAATATTGATCATTGGTTGTGTAACAATTTGTTTTAAGGATTTAATGCACAGAAAATTGGCAAAAAAAGGCTTTTGTTCATTTTTTATGCTAAGAATCACCAGACTTTAAGGCCTCCTACCTTTAAAACCTGTTTTTAATTCTGTCAATTTCAACCTGTAAATTGTCAAATTTATCCTTTATTTTGAAAAAGGCAGCTGCAGATCTCTTGGAAGGCCACTAAATTTCCAAATCTAACTCTTGATTTCTATTGATCTGAATTCCCAGTATCTAATGTTTGTGTGAAGATATGAATATTTACATTCACAAGGTGTATACTCTGCTTCAGTAGCAGCCAGTATCAAGTGAAAATTCATTATTTCCTCAGTGTTCACCTTACAGCTTTATCAAGAGGTAGATGTCTTACTAAACACAATCCCAGTCTTAACAAACAGCTCATGTAATTCAAAAATAAGTGTTTTTTTATGTATCTTCTGACATGTGACTAAATTATCAACAATAAGAAGGTAACAATTATAAGTGTATGACAAGAATATAAACATGGTGAAGAAAATGTTTCAAAAACAAAAATATGAGTTAGTGTGGGGAATTTGTACACTTAAGTTATGTAAGTTACTACATATACTAAGAAATTATTTTTAAATTTAAATTCTAATATTTGTTTTGCAACTATCACTTTAATGGTTGTTTGTTGACAAGTATAGTGCTTTAAAATATTGGTAGTCAGCCATTTCTGTACAAGGGAAGTAGTATAAAGTATATTAATTTAAACAGCTTGTTAAGTTACTGCAAGTTAGCAAGTGTCATAAAATAAACTGTTGACTTGATGAAACATTGCACACATACTTTTACTCATTTTTCACATGGAGAAACATATCTTTGTTGTACCAATTATCTTGATCCAGAAAATTAAAAAATGTATTATATTAGTTTGTGGTAGAGATAGTTTGAAAATTTTAGAAATAATGATAGTTTTTGTTGATTGACAATGAGACCGAAATTTCTTTTATGCCAGGTACCTTACACTTCATCATGTGATGTTACAGTTAAAGTACCGCTATGATAGAGAAATAGACCACTGTGAAAGGTAAGCAAACTACTATATTTTTATATTTTGTTAGAAGTGTTAAATTTGTCAGTTAGGTGCACTTCAGTGAACTGTGCTTTCTAATTTCTAGCTTTGTATACATATTTCAGGTATAAATACAAATAAAATTTATTCTGACCAATGTTATACAGAATGTTGAAAACATTATGTTAAAATAATTTTGAACATGCAAATCAGCAAATCATGTGACAAGCCTTTTTTATGCAAAATATTCATACATTCAGATCTGTTCATGTCAGGGACTTAGAATTTCCAAGACAGGAGTATTTAACATCCAGAAAAAGACCTGCAACACCTTGTTTCTCAGTCTTAATAAGCAAAATGCACTGTCTTGTAACAAATGAGAACCCACAAAGGTCAGTGGCAAAAGTCATCCATATGCCCCATGCAATATTACAAAGAATAACCAAGAAGGACCTCCACCTTGAAATGAGGCCAACAAAGTATTGATTCATACCTTCCATTCAACTGTTGCACACTTCAAGCAGCTGGAGAATGAACCACTTATACATGCAATTCTATATGAAGTCCTACTGGTAAAGTTGCTGGACATAAAACCTATAGATTTCTGTTTGATCAGATTGTTAAAATGGATGCTATCCTCAACACTAGATGGATTATGTAAGACATGCAGGGAGGATTGGTGTGCTTTGGATATGATAGCCTAATAATTGATCTTTTTGCAATGGAAACTGCACTGTAGGGATATTGTCAAGATGCATTTTGACTTTATTATCAGTGAATTTTAATAGGTTTTGTTGGGTTTTTTTCTGGATGGAGGGGATATTGACACCACTTCTTTTTTCTTTTTCACGGTGAAATATTACTTCACCAAACTGAACTAATTTTTAGTAAAAACTTGCTAAGTAGTATCTAGTTTCAGCTTAAAATGACATATAATTTGATTTACTTTTTCTGTTACTTGTGTTATGAAATTTCAAAAACTTTTTGAGAGACAGTTTTGAAAAATGATTAATCCTTTCTTTCATCTTAAAATTCCATTTTTTTTTATTATTGTTCAGAAATTTTTATTTTATATATACCATCAGTTTCAATGAACATTTGTTTTGATACTTTATTTTGCGGATTGCAGTAGTCATCACATGGCAAAAGAGTGACAAAGCTTTATCAGTGACCTATCACCTGACCTGTCAGGTTAGGCTAGGTAACAATATTTTTTGCTAAAAGTATTCTTGTTCCATCCTGTGGTGAGTATTTAGGTTCGATTATGCTCAGAATCCAGAGTTTATTTTCATCCCACTTGTAACAGGTGCGGTTCATTGTGGGTTTGACTTTCACCCATTACAAGCAGGGACATATTAACCAGTAGGCTGTCAAGGGCTTGGGCCTAGATCACAACAATTTGAGGGGTGCATCTTTGGGAAAAAAGTTTAAAATTTTTTGTTTAAATTGCAAAGTAAGTAACTGAAATTTCTTCTCTAAGTATTTATGTGGGTAAAACCATCATTACTGTTGCAGAGTTTAAAGAGTGGTGATAAAGGTGATATGCTGATTGGAAATGAAATATTTTAGACCCAAATACAGCTTAGTTAAGAAGCCTGATAAAATACAGTGAAATTTTATGGTATTGGTATAGTAATTCATAATTTTTTGTTATTTCAAAATGCATATACAAAACCTACAAAAATAGCTTCATAACATTGTAAGTAATAGAGATCATTGTTTTCTATATATATTTTTTACATACTGTTCTGTGTTTTAAGAAAAATGACTAAAATTTAAAAATTTATTTTTAAATAGTAATAATATTTATGCATATATGTAACGTATGGTAACTGGAATGTGATTGTATTTTACAAAATATTGGTGTGGTAAGAAGTACTAAGAAGAGTAAGATATTAGTTCTTTGTGAAAGCCAGTTTTATGCTATTTGAAATGGTAGCATGAGCTGCATGTGTGCTGAGTGATTTACATCTTGTGTGGTAGTATTATTAGTTAAACATGGTTCAAAGGTCAATAAAACAAAAAATTAATAAATATAAATAGATGTATACTGTTATTGGATTTAAGCTATTTAGAATAATCATTTGTGGTTTCTTATATCAATTTGCAGTCATTCTAGAATGAAAAAAGTGTAATTTAGATTTCCTAATTTTCTACGGTGGTTACAAGGTCAGTCAAATTGACCAACCCCAAATGGAGTTAAGGTAGAGAAAATAACAGATTAAATATAAAGTTTCCTAAAAACATTTGATAGTTATGTAGGATGTTATAAGAAATTATGCAAATTAAATTTGACAATTATCAGACGAAGAAAAGTATTTTTGATTTTAAAATCAAGTTATATTGCATGTTAGATAGTCAAAGAAAAAATTCATAAGTAAATCTTTAGTTAAAAAATCTTACTTCTTAATTTAAAATCTGATGTTTTGTATACAAAAGTTTTGTAACACTTACTGATAATCTGCAAAATTTTGGGAAGGTGTGCTTACATTGTCAAAACTTATAGTATGATTACTCTCATGTTTGGTGGTTATAGGCTGGATTACAGCTCTTAGTCAAAGTTAAGCAGTAGAGCTAATGGTACATAAATATGTTCACACTTAATTTCAATAAATGCTAACTTTTTGTCCTTAAGGCAAGTATGCAAACAAAAACAAGGTGTTCTTCAGAGGGCAAAAGTAAAAAACAATACAGTAGAAATTTCAATTTCTGCTGGATAATTACTGATTAACAAACTGTGAAAAAAAAGTAAAACTGAGGGAAACTGAAAACTATGCCCAAACACCGCTTTAAATATACAAATAAAATCTCAAGTATCAGATACAAGAAAGGCAGAGATTGTAATTGTTAGATCAGCTGGCCAAAAAGTGGTGAAGATTGAGCATGATTCCATTTGCAATTATTACCTGATTCACCAAGAAGAATATTTTGGCTGCCTTTTTAAAGACTTGTTATTCCTGTAAGAGAACTAGGTAAGCAGGCTTTGGTCTTCACCTAGAACTCTGCTAGCAATATAGAGTAAGTTAAAATTAGTAACTCATATGAGTGCCTCTCTCCATCCACCCACAGAAAAATGAAAAATAACAATTTCAAAATGTTTTCTTTTTAACTAGACTCATGGAAAACATGTATACATCCACTGTAATATTCTCCCCTTACCTTTCTTTCCAGGCCAGTCCAGATATTCCTGACTCTAAAACTATAAAGAAAAAAGTTATATCAAACTTCTGTAACACTCAAAATGTCAAACTAACTCACTATTATCCATAGGTCACTTCTTAACCCTTTTGGTACATAATTACATTTTGGGCTGGTTCCTAAAAAGTGTCAATTATCCCCCAAACAATGAATTTAGGAATTTGATTTTTCTAGTCCTTTTTTCAATGTGAAAAGGAGATGATATTTTTGCTATATCTGGCTCACAACAATTCCCTGATGTACACACAATCATTGAACAGAATAAAATGAGTGACAAATGATGAACACTGACTTGTACATTTATTTTACCACCTCATTACAAAACCTCTGGCTTATAGTAGTATATCAGATGATCGAATACTAGAATGCTGAATGTATATGTAAGGTATAATGTAAAATCTGTAATATATCAATAAAATTAACTTCAATTCATGGAGCTACTTACTGTGTGAGCTGACAGCTGAGCATATGTAAACACATCCACTAGTTTTTGTTTTGCTCACAGATGGCAGAACCACAGAGATGTAGCATGGCTTCCAAGGACACGAAGGTATTACCACTTGTAATGGAAGGAAAGGTTTTTGTGAAGCCATGGGGGTAAAACCACTTGTCACCTCAAATGGCTATAAATGCCAAAGCAGATACACTTAACTAAGCACTACAATACAAAACTGTACAACCCACTATACACATTACATAGCTCACCCTCCACCATTAAGAAAGGTAGTCTAACATGCCATGATTACAATATAAATTAAAACATACAAAAATACTCTTTAACAAAGAAAACATTTTAAATAAAAAAAATGTTTAACAATGATATTACATGTTTAATGAAACTCTTTAACATAGATAGTGTATGTTTATAAAAAAAACTCTTTAACAAAGAAAATACATATTAAAATTGTTACTTTGTTGCAGAAAACCTCCCTCCTTTATCCCTTTTGTGGTAGGCTCATGCAATTTGCATAAATAGTCGTGCATTTCACTTTTACAACAATACTTACGGCTGAGATTTCTTAATGTATCCTTTCAAAAACTGGTCAGATTTTATTAAAGATCATAAATATCTTGTACACAAATAATGACAGTTTTATATTTAAGTGTTTTTACTAAAAACATTATTTTTCTGTTGTAATTAGTTGCATTCAAACTATTAAGAGTGCAAGATGATTTTCATTTTATGTATAAAAATACTTTCTTCACCTTATTGTTTTCATATTTCATTTGCATAAACTCTAGAACCTCTAAAGGATATCAAATTTTTTTTAAGGTGAATGTTTATATTTTATTTTTCATTATCATATCACTAATTCTAGCTATTATCATCAATGTACAATGCAATGAAATGATTAAAATTAGGAAATAAAAAAAAAAGAAACGTGCCCTTTGATTTTTTATAAAATATTTTTAAAGATGTTGTTTTGCTTATATTCGTAATTTTGTGTCTTTTCCTTTTCACATATAGTTAAATTTGATGTTTTATTTTCCATTCTTGTCCTTTACCACTTATTATTGATCTTGACACAAGTCAACAGTGCCCTCAATGCATATTACAGTTTCTTTGGGAGACATGCACAACCATTTGGCAAAACTTTTGTTTAGCACTTGATATTGTAAGCCTTGAGAATGAACACAAAGTACGATGTATATTTTTAAAATGTTTAAGCCTTTAATTATGCATCTTAAAACATAAATAACACATAATTAACTAAAATATAATAGTAAGACCTAAGTACAATTTAAAGTGTATTTTTAACTATAAAATGTTTAGGTAAGAAACAACTGTAAGTGCTATAGTCAATGAAACAGCCAAC